CTCAACTCAACAACAGTATTTCGTCCAGTTTTCCTGTGTTGGAGAGTGTGACGTGTGATGTGGTAACGTGTACGTGTAGTGTCATGGTTGACGTGGTTGCAGTCACCGCTCCTGCATCACTGTCATCGTCAACACCAACACTAGAACAGGCAACGGCAGTATCTCCAACAGTTTTATCATCACCGACACCACCACCTCCAACAACTTCTTCGTCACCAACACCTGAAACAATTTCATCATCACTAACACTACCACCTCCAACAATATCACCACCAGCACCTCCAACGTCATCACAACCATGCCCCACCACCCTTCTCATTGTTGCCTGCAGCTGCTGCTGGTGTTGCTCCTGCAGGTGCAGCTGCTGCCTGTGGGAGGCGTCACTGCCGAGGCTGGTCAGGGACGAGGTTCTCAACACAGTGAGTAACGTGGGGAGAAAATTCCTTTGTTTTTAACTCGAGACTGTGGAATCCACCCACCGTACTTGTGTCACAGATTTTTCATTTATGTGAAGCGCCAAACCCACAAGGAGTGGTAGGGGATAGATCCTCCATCACTTAATAGCAAGATAACCTTTAAAAACTAATTTGCATATTTGAAATCCAGTCCGTGTGCTTCAATTTCCGTATATTTTTGATAAAAACAAAAGTGTTCCATTGATATCTTGACTTGTACATAACTTTCACTCTCCCTGAGAGCTACATCAAGGTTGATTTTGTTTTAGTCTTACGAAAGAACAAGGAGTCGGCTCTCGTAACAAGAATAACATATAATAATAATAATAATAATAATAATAATAATAATAATAATTATAATAATAATAATAATAATAATTTCAATAATGATTACAATAATATAATAATAATAATAATAAAATAATAATAATAATAATAATAATAATAATAATAATAATAATAATAATAATAATAATAATAATAATTACAATAATGATTACAATAATTATAATAATAATAATAATAATAATAATAATAATAATAATAATAATAATAATAATAATAATAATAATACGTTCAGCCAGTGTATACCAGTTTGTAACATTTTGGAGACAGCATAAATATAAATCATAAGTCCTTTAATTACATTTAAGAAAAAAACTTATGTATCCATAAATTGTCCGTCTCTTGAAAAAAATGTGATTCTCGACTCGTATATAATACTAGGAAAAGTGTATTATTATTATTATTATTATTATTATTATTATTATTATTATTATTATTATTATTATTATTATTATTATTATTATTATTATTATTATTATTATTATTATTGTTGTTATTATTATTACTATTGTTACTGTTGTTGCTATTGTTTTATTCATTGGGAAGAGCTAAACCAGTAGGGAGTCATACAACACCTGGGGAATGGGGAATTTCTCGGATCAAGAGCCCTGTATCATAATCGAGAAGATTATGATTATGAGTAGATTATGAATGATCATTTGCAACAAGACTGAGAACTCCCTCACTCGCTCGAGTCAGGAGAACCAGTGAGTGTCCCGATGGTGAGACAGTTCTAACTCTCACACTGAGGATAAGTAAGATGGTCACACTTCCTGGTCACATCAAAGCTGTGATTCACTTGGGACAACAGGATGTTCACTTCTCTTCCCTATGTCCACACTTCTCATTATAGATTGCTTTGAAAATAGCATATTGGGTAAAAAATATCGATAGTTTTAGTGCATAATCTGTAAAGGGCAAAAGTTAAGTGTTTAACTTGTAGAGGCATCGTTTAATAAACGAGTGGTTTAAAAAATAGTGCTTTTCCCTCCCCCAAATTGTCACTCGTATGTTCTCTTATTTCATTTTTTTCTTCGATCTTTCTCTCTCTCTCTTCCACTATCTTGAAATATACCAGTCCTGCGCTTCACTTTCAAATCCACTATCCCTCGTGCACCACCACCTTCAAATCCACTATCCCTCGTGCAACGCCACCTTCAAATCCACTATCCCTCGTGCAACGCCACCTTCAAATCCACTATCCCTCGTGCAACGCCACCTTCAAATCCACTATCCCTCGTGCACCGTCACCTTCAAATCCACCTCTCTCACTTCTGCACCACCATCTTCAGGTCACCACTCTTTCTCCCTCACTACCTTCAGATCCACCACTCTTCCATCTTCACATTGAAATCCACCACTCTGTCGTCTACCCCCACCTTCAACTCCTCTCTCTCCTGCAGGAAAACAAACCTAATTTTGTCTTTCCACAACATTAAATCTGGCATATGTACATTGTAGCTAAAAATTTCAACTATGCCAGATAAGGCCTAAAAACGCCCTCAACGTCGAAATTCAAATTAGTTTTGTCCTCTTTTCGCTAAAATGTATTTTTTTTTTTCACAGTACAACCATATATAACAGGGTAGCCATGTACCGCGGGCGTATCTAAGCTAAATGAGTAATGAAACACCTCTCTCGCGTTTTGCAATGCTACCGTGTAATGGTCCATGTTGCTTGCTGCCCTGTGATGGTCGGTGCTGCCACAGGGGTGCGGCTGCTGCTGCTGACGGGGAAATCAGCCAAGGACGGACATCATAGACTCTTCCGGGCAGCCACGGGTGCTGGCTATCTTACACAGGTGAGAATGAGTTTGAAATCCTTAACTTGGGCGCTTGCCTAAGTAAGAAAATAAGTTATATTTGATGGGTAACTTAATAATCTATAGAACCATGCTCTGAGCAGTGATCGAAACCTCAGGAACGTATACAGTGGGTCCACTAGCTGGAGCATTATGCTGTAAGTGGTCGAAACATCAAAGACGCACACAATAGACCCAATAGCTAAAATCTAACATGTTTTGTCCTTATGGTTAAAGCTTTCGCTTCGCACGGCGAGGATCTGGGTTCGATTCCCAGCCAGAGCAGAAGCATTGGGAGTGTTTCATTACACCTGTTCTCTCTGTTCACCCATCAGTAAAATGGGTACCTGGGTGTTAGTGGACTGGTGTGGGTCGCATCCTGGGACACTGACCTAATTTTCCAGAAATGCTCAGCATAAAAAGCGACTTTCTGTATAGTAGTACGTCATTGATGTCAGCTTGGCCTGTAGTAAATAAAGATATTATTATTATTATTATTATTATTATTATTATTATTATATTAATTATTATTATTATTATTATTATTATTATTATTATTATTAAACAATGTTACAGTGGTAATGAGCTAATTACGCACAAAGAGAAATATCTGGCTACCTGACTATAATTTTTTCCTATTATATTAACGTACGTTAAACTTTTACACATGTGTTCATAGCTCGGTTGAAACCGGGCTGTAAACCTGTTAGGGTTATACAGCGTCTGACATGTGACTCCTGCACCATACATAATTAGATTGTTGGATATGCCTAAACATGTGGCTCTGGTATCATTCTTGGATGCTGCGTGAGTTGACTGTTGCCATTCTCTTGTTGTATCATGATCAACTTCTCTCACTGATGATGGATGATTTCTCTCCTCCTTGCATCTAGTAGCCTCGTAGACGTAGCCTAACTCTTCCCTTACATCATATATTCGAAGCTTCGTGGTGAGTCCACAGCAGACGGATTCCGATTACAGCATTCATGATTATGTTACGTTATAATAATAATAATAATAATAATAATAAAATAATAAAATAATATTTATAACAAAGTATATGTACAAGGAATACACCTACTGAAGCTTTGGGCAAATTAGCTCATTTTGTCCCAGAGTATCCACACAGTCGACTAACATCCATTAAAGAAACGCGCCAAGTTCAACTCCGCGGAATCGAACCCAGAACCCTCACCGTGTGAAGCGAGAACCTTAGCACCAGGTCACGGGACACGTTGTACCTGAGCATGTTACTGTCATGTTACAAGGAGTTCAGAACTTTTATGGACAAAAATGTAGCCTTAAATTATAAAATCAAGTTTAGATATATGTATTTTTTGTGTGTGCAGCAGTAAAATGATGTGAAAAAAAGTCACTAATATACAGTCCAGGACATTTATTAAAGGAAACGTTTCGCCCCGAGTGGCTTCTTCAGTGCTAATGGCTTATTAGCACTGAAGAAGTCACTTAAACTCTCCATAAGTGTCTTTTTTCACAAGCTTGGGGAGTGGAAGACCAATTACGTCCGTGGCCCCACTCAAGGTAGACACCAGCGTTGTGTCACAACACTTCCGCCTGCACACACCCACTCTGTGTGTATATATGTATGTATTAATATAAATATATATTATATATATATATATATATAATATAAATATAATATATATATATTTAAATTATATATTTATCACACTGGCCGATCCCACCAGGCAGGGTGGCCCGAAAAAAGAAAAACTTTTCACCATCATTCACTCCCTCACTGTCTTGCCAGAAGGTGCTTTTCACTACAGTTTAACTGCAACATTAACACCCTCCTTCAGAGTGCAGCACGTACTTCCCACTCCAGAACTCAAGCCGCCTGCCGGTTTTCCCTAACCCCTTCATAAATGTTACTTTGCTCACACTCCACACACGTCAAGTATTAAAAACCTTTGTCTCCATTCACTCCTATCAAACACCTCACGCAGCCGCTGGAAGTCCAAAGCCCCTCGCACACAAAACCTCCTTTACCCCCCTCCCCCCAACCTATCCTAGGCCGACCCCTAACCCCGCCTTCCTTCCACTACAGACTGATACACTCTGAAGTCATTCTGTTTCGCTCCATTCTCTCTACATGTCCGAACCACCTCAACAACCCTTCCTCAGCCCTCTGGACAACAGTTTTGGTAATCCCGCACCTCCTCCTAACTTCCAAACTACGAATTCTCTGCATTATATTCACACCACACATTGCCCTCAGACATGACATCTCCACTGCCCCAGCCTTCTTCCTCGCTGCAACATTCATCACCCATGCTTCACACCCATATAAGAGCTTGGTAAAACTATACTCTCATACATTCCCCTCTTTGCCTCCAAGGACAAAGTTCTTTGTCTCCACAGACTCCTAAGTGCACCACTCACCCTTTTCCCCTCATCAATTCTATGATTCACCTCATCTTTCATAGACCCATCCGCTGACATGTCCACTCCCAAATATCTGAATACATTCACCTCCTCCATACTCTCTCCCTCCAATCTGATATTCAATCTTTCATCACCTAATCTTTTTGTTATCCTCATAACCTTACTCTTTCCTGTATTCACCCTTAATTTTCTTCTTTTGCACACCCTACCAAAAGCCTAAAGCCTCCTTGTTCATCTGCTATCCTATTCTCCGTCTTACTCTTAATTCTTTCAATAATAACTCTACCATACACTTTACCAGGTATACTCAGCAGACTTATCCCCCTATAATTTTTGCAATCTCTTTTATCCCCTTTGCCTTTATACAAAGGAACTATGCATGCTCTCTGCCAATCCCTAGGTACCTTACCCTCTTCCATACATATGTATATATATATATATATATATATATATATATATATAATATATATATAATATATATTTATATATTATCATACACCGCATCCCACCAAGGCAGGGTCGAAAAAGAAAATTCACCACTTCCTCCATCACAGTCTTGCCGAAGGGTGCTTTAACCTACAGTTTTTAAACTGCAACATTAAACCCTCTTCAAGTGCAGGCACTTGTACTTCCATCTCCAGACTCAAGTCCGGCCTGCCGTTTCCCTGAATCCCTCATAAATGTACTTGCTCACACTCCAACATATAATATAGTAGGTAGTAGGTGGTAGACACAACCGCCGTGGAGGTAATACCGTCCTGCCAGTGAGTGTAAAACGAAAGCCTTATGTTTTACATGAGTAGGATTGCGGTTCTTTTGTCGTTAAACTATGCAAATTACAGTAAGTCTGCTACTTCATTCACTTAGGTCACACTACACATACATGACAAGCAGATATATACACACCCAGTTGGGTCTATCTATTTTCTTTCTAATTCTTGTTCTTGTTTATCCTCTATCTCCATGGGGAATGTGGAACAGAATCCTCTGTAAGCATGCGTGTCGAAGAGGCGACTAAAATGCCGGAGCAAGGGGTAGTAACCCCTTCTCCTGTATATATTACTAAATTTAAAAGGAGAAACTCATTTTCTTGGCCAACCCTGCTCGGTGGGATACAGCTGGACGTGAAAGAAGAAAAGAAGATATATATATATTAATATATATATATATATAGTATATATAAATATAACACAACACAGAGATCGTGATGTCAAACAATGATGCTTTTAAATTTATGTAAGATGGGGTCGTTTGTAACTTACAATGATGTCACCTGTCTCATAATGTTATCTTCAGCTTCGTTATGCAGCGCGTACACACCCACGGTGTGGACGGCAGTGCTGGTATTACAGTTGCACATAGGGTCCAGGGACTGGGCCCCAAAGTTTTGAGAGCTCAACAAGTTAAAGTGGTAGCGAACTATTTACATATTCAAGATGTAGTTACAGTCTTAATAAGTTGTTTCTACAGACATGAATTGAGTGACAAAAATATTACAACGTAACTTATAATGTTCCACTAGAATTTACCACATTGGTAATCTTGCTCTCACTCTCACCTCCACTTGTTATCTTTGTATGTCTTGTCTCTGTCTGTCTGTCTGTCTGTCTGTCTGTCTGTCTGTCTGTCTGTCTGTCTGTCTGTCTGTCTGTCTGTCTCAGGAAGTTGGACATAGTAGCGTGCGTCAACCCTTGTGAGATTTGCCACCTCTTGTAAGATGCGTCACCGCGCACGTCTTCCTCGTCACTCACGCATCGTTTACGTCTCCTTCAATTTCTTCATAAACATTTTTAATCTCAGTTTCGTGATTTCCGCTTCCTTGATGATACTTCAGGCCCCCCCCACCCCCACCCTCCACCCCCCTACCCCTAACCCTCCACCCACGCCCCCACCCTCATATTATTATTATTATATATTATTATTATTATTATTATTATTATTATTATTATTATTATTATTATTATTATTATTATTATTATTCTTATAATTATGTTCTTGGTGTAACGCCACACCCGTAGAGATCATATAGTACCGGAGGCCACCAAGTTTGATTCGAGCAAGCGAGGGGAACTACATTTCCTAGGATCAAGAGCCCTTCACGAGCATCAGGGCTCGGACAGAATAACCTACGCTACGAACATATCTCACCTGGGGCCCACTCTCTCTCTCTCTCTCTCCTCTCTCCTCTCTCTCTCTCCTCTCTCTCTCTCTCTCTCCTCTCTCTCTCTCTCTCTCTCTCTCTCTCTCTCTCTCTCTCTCTCTCTCTCTCTCTCTCTCTCTTTCTCTCTCTCTCTCTCTCACCTTCTATCTTAACGATCCCCAGAAATTCTCACTGTTCTTCTCGTATCAGATACGATCACCTAACACTCTGCTGTTGGACTCCTACGGGTTTAGAGCGCCACCGTGAATATAATAAATTCATATTTAACTTGTTTTTTTAGTTTCATCTTCAGGTTAACTTTCAGTGTAGTAGTGTACGTGTGAGTGTACGTGTGAGTGTACGTGTAAGTGTACGTGTGAGTGTACGTGTGAGTGTACGTGTGAGTGTACGTGTGAGTGTACGTGTGAGTGTACGTGTGAGTGTACGTGTGAGTGTACGTGTGAGTGTACGTGTGAGTGTACGTGTTAGTGTACGTGTGAGTGTACGTGTGAGTGTATGTGTGAGTGTACGTGTTAGTGTACGTGTGAGTGTACGTGTGAGTGTACGTGTGAGTGTACGTGTGAGTGTACGTGTGAGTGTACGTGTGAGTGTACGTGTGAGTGTACGTGTGAGTGTACGTGTGAGTGTACGTGTGAGTGTACGTGTGAGTGTACGTGTGAGTGTACGTGTGAGTGTACGTGTTAGTGTACGTGTGAGTGTACGTGTGAGTGTACGTGTGAGTGTACGTGTGAGTGTACGTGTGAGTGTACATGTAATACTGAAAACATGAATAAATTGTAAATTGTTCCAGTCATAATACCGTCGCTGGAACAATTCATCAAAAAAAAAAAATCGAGGGTTTTTGGTCACTAACACAAACATGTATGAACAAGGTAGTCGCGTCGTAACTAATACCTGGAGGTATACCTGGAGGGTGGTTCGGGGGTCAACGCCCCCGCCGCCCGGCCAAGGTTGGGAATATTTTGCAAAAGTTGGTAGGACTTTTTTTCCTGTGGGATTCATTGAGTGGCTATATAAGCTGAGCTCGGTAACAGCGGGACGAGCCACGAGTTTCCTCTTCCACCTAATGAGAGTGGAGAAGTGTTTACGTGAAATCTCAATGCTATCCAGGGATTATGGAAGAGTGATCACCTTCAAACAGTGTCTACGCGACATATGGATGGGAGACTCGAGAAGAATGGATAGTAAAAGCTCCTGAAGAAAGAGAAGCTTAGAAGACCAACCCAAAGAAGCTCCATTTAATGTTTTCCTGACACACAGAGTGGACATGTCTCAATCTCATTAAGAACTATACAACTAAAGTAGCGAGCAGTATCTATGTCACAAGAGGAGAGCAAACTTGAAGAGAAGCACGAGAAGAAGGAGGGAGAAGAAATGAGCAAATCCAGAGAGGAAAGGATAAACAGAGAAGAGAAAGTGGATCAGGAATCAAAATTGTCACCTGTATCGTACTCTTCCCAGAGTTGGGACGGCGGAGGACCGCCACCACCATAGACAAGTCGGCTCTTAAATACTGCAACTCCGGAGTCACTGCTGCTCTGGATCATACAAAAGCTAGTAAGAGAATATCGTACAAAACCTTAGCGCGTTTTCCCGAGCAGTTGAACACGATCCCGAGACCTTGGCCTTAATCGGTGGACTCTCAGGTGGATTAGGATGAAGCACAAATTCGATGCGGTAGTTAATCTCAAGGCGGAGTTCAAATCTGATATTCCTTAGTAGTTCGTTGAGACAATAAAATATTGCCAGACATAAATGCTCTCTGAAGACATAATGGGGATCACCTTTCAATTCTAGTGTCCGACCAGGACACAAGACGGCTTTTGAATTTCCGAAACTACCAAATGGGAATAGAGGAAACCATTGTAAGTGGTGTGGTTGACGGCCTGAAAGTGCGGAATCGGTGACAGATTTAAGGTATCGTTGTTTGACACCATTGCAAGAATCCTGGGAAAATTGGTGTTTTTGCTGTTCTTGTTAAGCAGAACCTAGGAACATATTTAATACATATGACATATCACCACTGCATGACCTTCACCATGCACGATCGACCGGAAGACGAATTCACCGATAAATATCATTATATTAATGATACCGACAGTTAGATGAATAAGACACATATGCAGTATTTAGATATCATTAGTGATGAGACGTTCCGACTATATAGCAGACTTCTTCAGTCGATTACAGAGGTAACTAATATATTTAAGACCCTTGAAGAAGTGTAGAATTTGAGGTGTTCGATCAGTCAGAAGTGGCAGTTGGAAGGAGCTTCTATACTCGAGCCAGAAGTGAAATGTGGCAGCTGTGGATGGCATCACAGGAAGCGGGGCCACTAGCAGGCTTCCTAGTTCAAAATAGGCAGTGGGCCCCTCCTCCTGTGATGACATCTGCAGTTATCACACCTTCTGCCTCGAGTATATAGGCTCCTTCCAACTGCCACTACTTCATACTGATCAAAACTATGGAACTGAACACCTTTCACCAGGGCTTAGGAACCGAGCGCCTCAAAATGACTTCATTCTTACCAAAGCTGAGGGACCCAACAATATAATCTCCACCTCTTCAGCTGTCGCTTTCTAGGTGAGGGACAGAAACGCCTCAAATTCTACACTTTTTGAACCATCTTCAGTATAGTAGTCACATGTGTATTCCTGCACGCGTCTTACTCATCTCCACTAATAAAGAAACAGCTGCTGTGTTCTTCTACAACAGAAACAAGGGGGACAAACTCCTCGAGTTCGCCATCAAGTGTTTGAACGATGAAGCTCAGCCTCCTGACAATTACGGGGGACTTTTGGAACTCGTGATGAAATACCTGGAGGGAGTCCCGCCACATGGGGTGTATATCATGGCTGAAGGAGCCATGCACAGGGCCAGACAGACTGTAAGACAATATACTCCCTCAGTGTTATCATGTTCATAAATCAGTTCAAATGGACTCGCATAGAGTTCGAGTCATCTCCAGCTACGATCCTCTTCACCTGCCTCGTTGCACGCACCACTTGAGCCTCAGGCGCCACTGAATGATTTGAGTATACTGACACATCTGATTGAATACGAGGCCGGAAAGCAAGATGTCATCCAAGCAACAGTCGAAGCTCCGTCTCATCATACTTGGTATATGAGTGAAGAACGCGTTGGCTCCTCTTTTGTTGACTGCGTCGAAACCGCCATCAAGGAAGAAAGGGTCCAGACGTTAAATAGGAATTCAGATCCCCCCGTACGTAAACGACAGGGGGCAAAAGCGCCCTGTCGTTTACGTACAGGAAACAGAAGCTGCAACTTCTCCCCTCCCATACATTAGCCATGAAGAACACGATATATTTCTTAGGCATCTTAGAGATCTTCACTGGTTAGCTAGAGACGGGAAAGGATACAACATGTGTTGACGTTATCAAGGCTTCCTCGGGTCTCAGCGTCGTTAGCAACAGCAGAGCGAGGTGTAACGTTGATCCAAGAGTTCAATGAGATCATTACAAAGGATAAGATGCAGAAACAAGCCCTTTTTCAGGTTGTGGCTCACAACACAAAATAACAAAAGTCAAACCGTCCCGGGCAGAATGTTTGTAACTTTCTCTTGTTCTGATTGTTAAAGATATTATTTTCCGTTGTATACACTAACCACAGTGATCGTATTTTTCCAGTTTCTGAAAATTAGTTCTATTATATTTGGTTGTACGTGTTTACCTTTGATCCAGAAGAGTTAACCGCAACTTCAGTGGGTAATAATATCATTGAGATCGATGATTTCATGTCCCGGTGGCATACTTGATCTAATGTCCTTTTGCCTATACGCTATAGGAGAACAAAATGAGACCATGTCCCAGGAAATATTAAAAAAAATTCCATCACCTACAATAAAATATATTTTATATAAAGAGAGAGGACCAAGAGATGTTCCTCAGAATTTCACATCATATCGCTGCATAGCATCATATCGCTGTATAACATACTACATCACACCATATATTCTGGGCCACATGAGCAACAGACTGCCACAGAAGATAGGCTTACGCTACATCCCCAGCCTAGCACATGATGCCAGCTGAGGAATATACTTCGTAAAGTATAGATTATACCTGTGAGTGTACCTCAAATAATTGTTATAATGTATACGTCAAGGAAAACTGTTATAATATATATACCTCAAGGAAGAGTATTGTCTTTTCAGATGTTAGTGGTAGAGGAGTCGAGGCAGGAGGTGTCCAAGGTGCTGCAAGTTATCAGGAAAGAACGTTATGCATCTGATGATCTTCTGGTGCTGACGAACAGGTGAGAGAGAGAAAGAGAGAGAGAGTACTACTTGCTTATTTGTGATTACTTGGGTCGAATCTCAGCTTTTGGCTGTGATTCTTAATTTGCTGCTTCCCAGATTTACTCCCTCCTTGCTTCGTGGACACTGTCACACTTATTCTTAAAAATATGTATAGAGTCTGCCTCCAGTACCTTGTTGCCCAGGTCATTCCATTTCCTGATCACCCTGACGCTGAAGAAATATTTCCTGATTCCCCTGTGACTCTCGTCTGTGTCTTCAACATTCAGTAGTGCCCTCATGCACCCATTTCTCTCGACCGGTCTCTTATTGTCCTCCCTATCAAGTCTTTTGAGTATCTTGTGTTTATCATGTCACTTCTGGTTTTTCTAACCTTTAATGACGCCAGATCCACTTCCTTGGTTCTGGTACTAGTCTCGTTACAATCCTCTGTACTTTCTAAAGTTTTATGATGTACATTATCAGGTGTGTGTGCCAAGCTGATGTCACATACTCTAAGATGGGCCTGACATATGTGTCATAAAGGAATGACTGTTAAGATTCCTAAAAGCTACTCTAAGAGTCACCCATGAGCATTAGATGTAGAGATTATTCAGTTGATGTATGTCTCAGAGGATATACCTGGCACCTCGTTCTCCACGAGATCTTTTTCCCTGAGTAAGTGAGGGTTGCAGCTTCTGTCCGCCGCGTGTCAGCTCAATTTCTGTCTTTTTCCTTTCCAATTTTTTTTATATAATCTTGCATTACCGTGTATGTTCATGATCTTTTTTTGTCCTTACCAGTTTTTATTTATCTCGTTAGTTTACCTCATCTGTATACAGGGATACATCTGACTCTGTCTCTTCTGGTATACCGTAAATCACACAAACCAACACAAGTACTAGACCCAGTACTGATCCTTGTGGAATCCCACTTGTTACATTCGCTTGTTATAACGCCTCTTCCCGGACAATCACTTTTTGTCTCATTTTCTCATAATGCATTCTTTGATCCACTGTAGTACTTTCCTTATTATACCTGTCTGATCCTGATCCTCAAGTTTTTGCCCTAGTCTTTTCTGAAGTGTGAAACGCCTTCTTGGAATCCACTCAACACTCTCTTACCTCACATCCATTATTTAATCATTGGATTCCAGCAGATAAATCACAGAACGGGTGGGGCTCGTGAGTCTGGAACTCCAGCTGGTCTGTCAGAGACGATCTACCATTTCAAAATCCTCACTGACTGTTTATGACAGAATTTCTCTCCAGGTGATCCACCACTCTCTTGATCATCATCATCATTACCTTGCATAGTACGCATGTCTGCAATACTGGTTTGTAGTGTGTGTGTGTGTGTGTGTGTGTGTGTGTGTGTGTGTGTGTGTGTGTGCTTAAAAACATCAAATATTAATTACAATTAATAATACTGAAAAAAGCATTTAATTCATGCTTGTATCTCATTTAAAAAATTAAACTTATTTGGTATAGCAGTTGATGTTCTCCACAGCGATGAGTACATTCCGACGTGTGAGCCTGGTATGCTAATCTTGCGGGTGCTGGGGCACTTGCTGCAGGAGGAGGCAGAGGTGGTCATGTCTTACCCTCCAAGGCCTCACAACCTCACCCTCCACCTCAAGGAAGAATTCAAGCGAGTCAACGTAAGTTGATTATATATATATATTTTTTCAACAAGTCGGCCGCCTCCCACCGAGGCAGGGTGACCCAAAAAAAGAAAGTCCCCAAAAAGAAAATATTTTCATCATCATTCAACACTTTCACCACACTCACACATTATCACTGTTTTTGCAGAGGTGCTCAGAACACAACAGTTTAGACGCATATACGTATAAAGATACACAACATATCCCTCCAAACTGTCAATATCCCAAACCCCTCCTTTAAAGTGCAGGCATTGTACTTCCCATTTCCTGGACTCAAATCCGACTATATGAAAATAACCGGTTTCCCTGAATCCCTTCACTAAATATTACCCTGCTCACACTCCAACAGATCGTCAGGTCCCAAGTACCATTCGTCTCCATTCACTCCTATCTAACACGCTCACACACGCTTGCTGGAAGTCCAAGCCCCTCGCCCACAAAACCTCCTTTACCCCCTCTCTCCAACGCTGCCTTCCTTCCCCTATAGATTTATATGCTTTCCATGTCATTCTACTTTGATCCATTCTCTCTAAATGACCAAACCACCTCAACAACCCCTCTTCTGCCCTCTGACTAATACTTTTATTAATTCCACACCTTTTCCTAATTTCCACACTCCGAATTTTCTGCATAATATTTACACCACACATTGCCCTTAGACAGGACATCTCCACTGCTTCCAACTGCCTCCACGCTGCAGCATTTACAACCCAAGCTTCACATCCATATAAGAGTGTTGGTACTACTATACTTTCATACATTCCCTTCTTTGCCTCCACTGATAACTTTTTTTGACTCCACATATACCTCAACGCACCACTCACATTTTTTCCCTCATCAATTCTATGATTAACCTCATCCTTCATAAATCCATCCGCCGACACGTCAACTCCCAAGTATCTGAAAACATTCACTTCTTCCATACTCCCCCTCCCCAATTTGATATCCAATTTTTCTTTATCTAAATCATTTGATACCCTCATCACCTTACTCTTTTCTATGTTCACTTTCAACTTTCTACCTTTACACACATTCCCAAACTCATCCACTAACCTTCGCACTTTTTCTTTAGAATCTCCCATAAGCACAGTATCATCAGCAAAAAGTAACTGTGTCAATTCCCATTTTGAATTTGATTCCACATAATTTAATCCCACTCCTCTCCCGAACACCCTAGCATTTACTTCTTTTACAACCCCATCTATAAATATGTTAAACAACCATGGTGACATTACACATCCCTGTCATTGCCATTTTTATTTTTATAATTTTTTTTATTATTCTTTTGCTACCTTAACTTGTGTATTTTATCCTGTCAATTTAAATCTAGTTATACTCTAATTCTTGTAAATAACTTATATAAGACCTTAGTGCAATTACAATTGAGAGTCTTGTGCCTTTTTTATATTATTAGATTAAACTCAGTTGTACTATAGCTCATTCTATCTCAATACATAGTCAATACCAAATTCACTATATTAGACCATAGTGCAATTACTAGTGAGAGTCTGGTGCTATTTTTAATTTGTATTTTTATATTATTAGATTAAACCTAGTTGTACTATAGCTCATTCTAGCTCAAAACATAGACTCCTCAAAAGTCATTATATTTGACCTTAGTGCAATTCAAGTGAGAGTCTTGTTCTATTTTTAATTTGATTTTTTTATTACTAGTTTATTACCTAATTGTACTTTAGTTCATTCCGCACAACACATAGACACATCAACTTCATTATGTGTTAGCGTGACTATACTCTATATGACCAAAATACTCTAGCTATATACTTGTCCAAACTTCCCCCCCCACTACAGATATCAGTACTAGAACTCAACACACAACTCAGGATATAAATAACCATAATTTAAACCTAGAAGATGATTGATCACGTTGACCCTGATCTAAACCTCCATAATCTGACACCCAATCAAAATCTATTGGAAAGTAACTGCCTTTATTACACAGCATCACAAGCCACCACTATCCTAAACAATGCTAAAAGTCTATCAGTACTTAACTACAACATCAGGTCCTTAAGCAAACACTATGATGACCTCCTGGCACTCCTTGAATCACTAAAGACACCCTTCTCCTGCATTATTCTTACTGAGACCTGGCTTAAGCAGGACACAATAGATATCTACCCTCTACCAGGATACACAGCAATTCACAACTGCAGACCAAACCAAGTTGGGGGTGGTATTGCAATCTATTACTCTAACCAATTATCTGTATTAGCACCACTTGCTTTAGTGAGAATATGGGAATACATTTTTGCTAATTTTACTGTAAAAAACCTTAAGGACACTATAACAATCGGTGCCATTTACCGGATACCTCACACAAACATCCCAAATTTCATGAGAAATTAAAGTCACTAATAACAAACAGACAAATGAATAAGCACCACCTTCTCTTAGCTGGAGACTTCAACATCAACCTTGGCTTACTAGATGATCAGCCTGTAACTGATTTCATCAACAATATGAACAACACACTTCTCATACCAACAATAACTAAACCAACCAGCTCACTGAGACAAGTGCAACCCATAATAGACCATATATGGACCAATATATAGCCCCCCTTAAATCAGGGAATAATCACAGATAGCACTACAGACCACTACCCTACCTTCCTCCTGACAAACATTAGTAAACCACCACTTGAATACAACAAAGTCTCATTTAGACTCCATGATGAGGCTCAATAAGGAAGTTCACAGCTGACCTAGAGACTGTTGACTGGCCTACAGAATTCTCCAAGGCCAATTGGTATTGATGACTGGACAGACATTTTTCTTAACAAATTACTTAGACTATACAACAAACATTGTCCTATAAAAACGAAAACAGATCACAAACAAACGGCTTGGTTGCCCATGGTTAACCAGCACCATTCTGAAATTCATTGACAAGGAACACCAATATGAAAAGCAAATATAGACAGGGCTTAATACACAAAGATATTCTTAAACACTATTCATCAGTTCTCACCAAAGTAATAAAAAAGCCAAACAACTATACTACTCCAGTAGATTCACCAGACACTAGAGGAGATATAAAAAAGACCTGGAAAACACTCTCTCAGATTCTAGGGACCCACAAACTGAAAAAAAACAAGATATTGTCCTAACTAAACCTAATGAAACACCACTACATCCCACTGACACAGCTAACAAGATAAACGACTTTTCTCAAGCATAGGATCTAATCTCGCCAATAAAATCCCACATACCAATGTCCATGCGGGACTACCTAGATGGGAATTTCCCAAATTCCTTCTATCTTGCACCAACTGAGCCCACAGAAGTCACCGAGATTATAAAGTCACTTAAAAATAACTCAGGGAATCTGTTCATGTCCCACCATTACTGTACAAGCGAGCAGCCCATGTCCTTTCGCATGCTATTTCATTACTTTTTAACAAGTCACTAGAAACTAGCACCTTCCCGAAACTACTCAAGATGGCAAGGGTTACACCAATACATAAAGGTGGTGACCCTACAGACTTAAACAACTATAGGCCAATATCAAACTTACCATTGCTATCCAAAATCTTTGAGAAACTCGTGCACGGAGGACTATATTTCATTTATAACGCACAAAAACATACTCAACCCCTGCCAATTGGATTCAGAAAAATTAAAAGCACTAATGATGCAATCATAAAAATGCTAGATCTGCTTTACACAGCATTGGAAAATAAGGAATATCCACTAGGAATTTTTATTGACCTAAGAAAAGCTTTTGACACAGTAGACCACGACATCCTACTCCACAAACTTGACCATTACGGTATAAGAGGCCATGCGCTTGCTTATTTCAAATACTTACCTTACTAATAGGTATCAGTATGTCACCATTAAAGACACGGCATCAACAACACGGCCACTTGATACTGGAGTTCCACAGGGAAGTGCCCTTGGTCCCCTGCTCTTCCTCATATTACATCAATGATCTTCCAAACGTATCCCCCAACCCCCCCTGCGACACACGACTTATGTCATCTCTCACCCTAATCTTGCCACCCTCAACACCATTGTTAACGAGGTGCTGATCAAAATATCGACTTGGATGACAGCCAATAAACTTACGCTTAACACTGACAAAACCTACTATATTATGTTTGGTAGCAGAGCAGGAGATGCACAAATTAACATTAAGATCGACAACACTCTAATTACCAGACATAATGAGGGCAAATTCCTAGGCCTATACCTTGACAACAATATGAAATTCAGCACCCATATCTAACACATAACCAAAAAAGTATCCAAAACGGTTGGGATCCTCTCCAATATACGATACTACGTGCCGCAAAATGCCCTTCTCACACTATACCACTCACTTATTTATCCATACCTCACCTATGCTATTTGTGTTTGGGGATCAACTGCAGCAACACACCTAAAGCCAATAATAACCCAACAAAAAGCCACAGTAAGAATAATCACTAAATTCCATCCCTGGCAACACCCCCCCCCCACTCTTCATAGATCTAAACTTACTCCCTGTTCAGTACATCCACGCTTACTACTTTGCAATCTACATCTACAGGACCTTAAGCTCCACTATCAACCTTGACCTAAAACGCTTTCTTGATAGTTGTGACAGAACCCACAGGCATAACACCAGACACAAACATCTCTACGACATTCCCCGTGTCCGACTAAACCTTTACAAAAATTCAATGTATGTCAAAGGCCCTAAAATCTGGAACACCCTACCTGAGAACTCTAGAACTGCAGACACATTCAAAACTACCATTAATCTTTTATTTACTACAAGTACATGGTATACAGTCCTAGTTGGCAACAATGACATACTACTACATAGAAAGCCACTTGTTATGCTGAGCATCTCGGGCAAATTAGGTCAGTGTCCCAGGATGCGACCCACACCAGTCGACTAACACCCAGGTACCCATTTTACTGATGGGGAACATAGACAACAGGTGGAAAGAAACACGCCCAATGTTTCTACTCTGGCTGGGAATC